GGTGCGAGGAATACTCGAAAAAGTGTTAAACTTACCACTAGGTTATTTTGGATAGTGCTCATCAGAAGTCGATTGTCCGAGTAACCTTTGTACACGGTCATATCGGTGTCAAATTGAAGCATCCCCGCGACGGCAAACGCCACTTCGGGGGATTGGAGGATAGAGTCGGCTTCCAAAATAGGGCGGTCGTTCCTAGTCTCAGCCCGACCAACCCACTCGCCCGAGACAGATGGGCTCGGGGCCGGGGCATCATGCCGCCGCTTCACATGGTGCTCCTCAGATTGTTCGGCGTCCTGAGCATGCCTGTCCTTCAGCCAGTCTCCCGAAGTGGGGACTTGTTGAGATTGGGGCCTTTGCCTGGCCGGCACGGTTGGGTCCATGGATGGTTGCGTACGCGACGGCGGCGGAGGCGTTTGCCTCCGAGGAGAACTAGGCAGGGGGATGATGGGGGCAGTGTTGGAAGGCCCGGCCAACCCGGCGAGTATGACTTTCCTTGCCGCGGTGGCGACCTCCATTGTAGCAGCGGTGACTAGTGGCGGATTAAACATTTCTTGCGCAAGGGTCTCGGGAACGTGATCAGACCCTTCTTCGAAATCTCCCTCGGATTCTTCCTCTTCTGACGAGGAATGGTCTTCCCAAATAGAAGGGTTGAAAGGAGGTGGGATCTGAGAGAATCGACTGTAAGTCGGCGTGTAGCCGATGAGAGTATGTGTCGCTTGCTCAACTGGGTCTGAGGACCAAACCCTTAGCAGGTCGGCAAACCGGACTTGGGACCTCAACGGTTGAGCAGCGTCCCGGTGATATCCTTTTGCAAAAGCAAAACAAAATCAGTGCGTCCCCCGGACCTAAGAATAGCAAAATCAAGAAGTCGGAAAGAAAACATACCTTCATCCCTCGGCACTTTAGGGCAGTACAATCCGTCATACTCGGGCCCAGTCCCTTTCTCCCAACTTTCTCTAATCATGATTAGATCGTCTACATACCCTTTGTCCGAGTCGAACATGTAGGTTACTAGATACATTGAGGCGTCTCGAGCCTGGAGGTAATATCGTCCCCCGGCTACTAGCCTCAGGTCGTAGCAGAATAAAATTTCATTTACTCCTAAGTTGGTCCCCAACTGAGCGTTTAAGGTGACTACGCCCATCACAATCTTAAAGAAGTTAACCCCACATTGAAGGGGAAAGAGCTTCAATTGCATCAACACTCCCAGCAACAGGGGATGAAGGGGGAAGGTCAATCCTCCCTCCATGATAGCCTTCGTCTAGAAAGACATCATGTCTACATTTTCCATATCCCTCTTATAATGAGGGGGTTGAAGGGGAAAGCGAAGACAGGCTCACGGATGTGGTACCTAACCCTAAAGGATTGAATATTCGCATCGGTCACTTGGGTTCTCCTCATCTTGTGGGTAGTCCTAGCCCTAACAGACGTCTCCCCCCTGGTTCTACTAGTTCTAGCCATTGGTGGGCGCTAAAAGGATGGAATACAAATGAAATGAAGAGAGAAAAAACTCAAGTGAAAGTACTTACAGGAAGGTGGTCTTCAAAGAGAGAGCTCGGTGGATGAAGGGAACTCGGAGGAGAACAGAGGAGCACTCGGGGGTCTGATTGCTGAAGAGAGGTTGAGGATGCAAAAGTTCTAAGGGGTATGAAAATCTCCTATTTATACTGCCTCACAGGGAGTGAGAATTGAAAAGTTGGGTCATCATTAGGGCATTTGAAAAGGGCGGCACCAGACGCGCGAGTAACCGTCGTTATTAATAAGGCGTAATGATGGAGCCCTCAATCTTTTTACGCCACTTGTCTTGCACTGCGAAAAGGATGGCGACTGAGGGACAATTGGCGGGGCTCTAGGTGGCTCTACAGCCCCCGGGTTGACACGTGGAATAATGAAGTCGTTGGGATATCCAAAGGGTGCCGAGGAGGTTAGCCGAGGTGTGGTGACACAGAGCAGCCGAGTACTACAGCTGACATCATATTTAATGCGATGTAACCCCTTATTTATGATGTAATGAGTGATAGTGATAAGACAAATAAATGCGCGCTTGCCAGCACCTGCTCTCTAGGAGTCTAAGCCTATTGTCATGATGACTAAGCATTAATGGCTGATGCGCCGAGACGACGCGATCGGCTCTCCCGAAGAACTGTTCTCCCCGAGTATTCAATGCTCAATTGATGTCAGATGCCGATCTGGCCGAGCATTTATCTCACTTTCTTAGCATTCAATAGGAGGAGACGTGAGTAGAAAACACTCATTACACGAGGAATGATGTGTCAGATGTAAGATGTTCAGATGGGACTGGAGATCTTTGGCAATCATTGTCAATTCAGGTATAAATACTCCTCAGAAAAATGAACAAAGGTATGCAAATTTGAACCAGAAAAATAGTCCATTGAGCAAAACCCTTCGATTTTATATTGATTTAAACTTCAGAGGGGATTAGCCGGGCACTCGCCTGACCCCCTTTTTTTCTGACCTTTTTGTTTTAGGTTCGCTAACTTAAAGATCACTGCCTCATACTATTGCAAGAATTATCCCGTACAGCAGCATATGCTACAAAAACATTTCTCTTTAAATTTTCAAAAATATTTCTCTTTAAATTTTCAGTACTGTGACGGATCCTGTTGTTGAAGATTTGAGATCCTGTTGTTGAAGATATGAGATCTCGTGAATTAGCAGATCAGATCCATCATGGAGGCAGCAGACTTTGAAGAAAGAAAACATAGCCGCCATTATTTATGGCAGAGAAGACTTTGTGCATTCATCTAACCTTTATAAATAGGAGGTGATTTCTCATTGTATAAGACACACAAATCCGTAATGTCATTGATTTATCAATAAAGTGGAAGCATTGGGTAGTTGTCCGTGGCTGTAAGCCCGAGTAGGCCGAACCACGTAAATCATTGTATTTATTATCCAACCTCTACCTAACATGATATCAATACACAAAATTCAACAGAAATTGATGAATACCCACTTGGAAATCTGTATGCTTCCTTTAGCAACCCAAAAATTGATTTTTTTTTTTCGTTGATTTGAGTTTTGCATTAAGAGAATCTAACACTGAAAAAGGACCCTAATCCTAGCAGAAGGGTAACACACTCATGGATGGTATATCAGACATAACGGTGATATAAAATGTGACAAATAATATTAACTAATATTATATCATTTTTAGTTACGGGTTTGGACCAAAAAATTTCTCAAAAACTGGATTTGACTCTAAAAGGCGTATGCGTCAAAAGTGCATTGTCTAATGTATGTGATTAACGGTTGATTGCATGCAACAAAGTTCTACATTACAATCATATGAGTTGAAAAGATACATGTTGTGATGATCTCCGGTTGTGCAACTACTTTTTGTTGACAGAGGGTTTCATCTCTTAGGTCTATTTATATGGGTCGTCAGGGTCGACGTTGGTGACTTTTTTTTTCTAATCTCTCTGCCAACTTGTAACATTTACAATTTTTTAAATTTCATTTAGATTGTGTAGTATTATTCTTTTTGATAACTTGAACATGGAGATATATCCTCATCTCATGGGTATCCTTTAATGCACTCAAAAAGTCAAAAAAAAGAAAAGAAGAAGAAGTAGAAAAAACACAGTCCTATATAATAGAACACATAGTCTTGCTTACACAAAACACATCCAAATTGTTTGGATTCGATGACTTAATTTGATTTAAATATTAACATTTTAGTTACAATAACTAAACCGATTTATATTTAACTATTTAGCCATGATTAAAAAAAACATACTTTTCACAAAACACCCTAATAAATATACAAATCTCAAATGCATTTCTTCATGATTTCTCAATGGCATATTGGTTTTTAGTTTTGTGTCAATTTTGTCTCTTAACTCCTAAGTTGTTTTTAATAAACCTCCAACCAAAATCCAATGAAATTGAGCAATTAATAATCCTTAATAAAGTGACTTTTCTTAGCTTATGGACATAAATTTAGTTGGAATTTCAAAGATATTTAAGTGTAAAGGAATATAAGCTTCAAAGGTAAAAATTATAATTTGGTAAAATAATGTTAAAAAAGCAAATGAGTATTTACAAATTGGAAAATGCAAAATGATGTTCCATTTACATTTAAAATGCCACCATAATAATACCCCTAATTTGAAAAAGACTTCGTTTATATGATGAGTCTAAACACTACCACTACATGTGTTAGCTTTACCCATTAACATGAGATAAGATGATTAATTAGTATCGTAAATATATATATATATATTTAAATTTCTTTAGAAAGTATGGTATGAATTATTTTAAAATTAAATAATTTTATATTAATAACACAACCTATAAATAAACACCATAAAAAAATATAAGATGCAAAAATGACATGATTATATCCTATGAAGTACGGATTCGGATACAGAATACGGGTACGATACGATACGACAAAGTCTTAAAAAGTAAGATACGGGTACGGCCAATATATGACTATAATAAAATATATTTAATATTTTTATTATTTTTAATCAGCTTAATATTTGTATATTTTGATCATTTTTTAATCTACAATAAGAAAAATTAATATATTTTTTTTAATTTTAAGAAAATATATATCGTATCGCTGTAGTATATTCACAAAATGAAGTAACTAATTAAAAGAATAAAAACTAATATTTATTTAGTATTTAGAAGTAATTTTTGCTAAGATAATAATGTAATAACTTTATTTTATACTCTTTTTACATGTAATTATAGATAATACTTAAGAAACACTCATGAGTCTGTGAAGTAATATAATTTTTTTATTAATGTATTATATGGTATGTGAATTCAAAAAGAGTTGTTAAAAGTTCAACTTAAAAAATATATATGTTATTCGATTACAAAAGTATCTGTAAAGTATCATAATATTTAATTATTATTAGATATATAAAAGATATATCTAATACATATTATTGAGTATCAAACAAATATTGTATCCGATACGATATAAAATTCGGGTTGATATCCGTGTTTCGTACATTATATCTAACAATCTGCTCTCCTGCCGAAGATTACACCCTCAAAAACCCTCACCTCTTTGTCTTTTTACCAGTCCCAAAACCCTAACCCGCACTTTCCCAAAGCACACTGGCGCATACGCCCACTCTCTACCTACTTCACACACGCTCTCTCTATCTCTCTCTCTCTATAGGGTTTTAGCTAATCAGACAGACCCAACAAAGGATAATTCTTAGGATTAGCGAAGATGTTGGCAGACAAAGGAAAGAAACAGAAGGTAGGAGAGAGATGCGAAGAGGAAAAAAACAACAACGCAGAGCACATTGATGGGGAGCTCGTTCTCTCCATTGAGAAGTTGCAGGAAATCCAAGACGAGCTTGAGAGGGTAATTTCTTCTTTTTTTCTGATTTTCTTTCTCCTCTGTGGTTTACGGGAAAAAAAGAGAGAGAGAGAGAAAAAATTAATAGGAAGCAAAGGTAAGAACTTTGTGAGTCTTTTCCCCCATGTTGATTTGGGTTTGGGCTAAAAGAATGGTGTTCAGTGGAGGTCTTTGTGTTTTTCTCATTATCTAAGAGATCAAACAGGGTTTTAATTTATTTGTTTATCTTCTATAGTTATATTGATTTCCTGTTTTAATCATATTTCTATTTGTTTTCCCACAATATTTGCTTGAATGAATGGCATTGTAGTTAAAGCACATTATCATGTATGTGAAAATTGAAATTATAATGTATGCATTTCATTGTGCCCCCACACATCTGTATATATAATTCTTTGTTTGATAGACATCATTCATGCGTCTGTATACATTTTGGTGTACATATCGATATAATATTATGAGGGAGAGGCACAGCTTGGTCTGTGGTGTCTCCAATATTTCGATAATCCTTACATGCACAAGATAACTATCCATAACACAAAAATTACTCACTCACCCAATTACACTGAGGGCCCCTGATACTTAAACAATGACATAAAGACTGCTTGAGTTTGTATCGTGTAACCAAAAAACCTCTCTATTAATTACATGGATACCCCTAAGCTTTCAACAATTGCATAATAAACTCACGAGGTTTTTAGATTATGGCAAAGATATGCTTCCCGAGATTTTACATGCACGATGTGTGTCATGAGTTCTAGTTTAAGAATAGTTGTACACATTCATGTGTTTGTAGTATCTCTGTATTTATTTATGAATAAATTAAATTTGTGTTTCAGTGTTGATTCAGAAGTTTGATGTTGTTATTAACAAGAACCCAATAATAAGTTGGTTGATTTTCTTCAATTGCATGGCTAGTGTAACATCAATTTTGATGCCCCTGCCTTAGGTTCAACTGAAGTGATTGCTTAAGTTTGCATTTATACAATTTGAAAGTGATCTCTAGAGGTTATGTAGCCATAGTAATCCCAGGAAATACTTGAAAAAAAGCTGCAAGGTTGCCTAGTATTGGATTTATGGGCTGATTCTGATTTTGAGCGATATTTGTTGCTTATATATGTACAGTTTAGGTGTATACTCGTATTCACAATCTTCATGTTAAAGTTGGGTTTCTTCATTTTTATGTCGGATAAATAGTAGATACGTGCCAGGGAAATTTTACCTTCACAAATTAAAAACCATAGGCATACTGGCATAGAATGATATTTTTTGCCCAAGTGCAAGAAGACATGAAAATTGCATGTATCACCACTGAGCTATATGAAGCATGAAAATTTATAGGGACTACAAGTGCTGCAATATATGTTCACCAATTTCACATTAGTTTTTGGACGGGGGAATCTGAGATTCAAAATTTCAAACCGACAACAAATTTATTAGAGTCTATTTGAATATTGTATTCCCTTCCCTCAAAACTTGAAAAAATTAACTAAACTTGAGCACTTACAAATCAAAACAATGCTTGAGGTAAGGAAAGCTGCATTCCTGGGCAATGGAGTTGCCTACTATGTGTCTGTCAAGAAGCTGGACAAAACCCCCTCAAAATATTAGGATTATCTGGCAGAGCATGCCCTTTATTGGAAAGCTTCTTTCCGTGCTTGTTCACACCTTCGCAATCCTCATTTCACCTGTTTTTCTTGTGAAAATGGTCCAAGTATTTGACGCATTCATTGTGTTCCTTGCAATGAATACTCTAATTATGTTCGAAAACATCACATTTTGATGTTATAGGCATCTCAGAAATTTCTAAGAAGTATTCAGTATATATAAATGATGTCGTCTGTTTAGAAGGATCATATTTGAATTTGGATACAAAATAAGTATCGGTTATGTTTCTAGTACTATCCAACAAGTATTTTAATATGAATTTACATGACGACACCTTTGACCATGTTGAATCCTAGCTTTTCAGTGGTGTATTTCATCAAAGGTATTGAGGATACATGATCTTTGTAGTTGGCATTTTCCATTATAACAAAGCCCTAAGAAAGGGTATTTATTTAATATCTGCATTGTCATCAGCAAAAACTCAACTGCCCTTTTTTTTTTCAGTTACATATAGTTAATATACTTCAATCTAGAATATGTATGAGATGTGTTACTAGAATTGGCATACACATGCCCATAATTTTTTTTCTTATTTTTACAGATCAATGAAGAAGCAAGTGATAAAGTCTTGGAAGTAGAGCAGAAGTATAATGAGATACGCAAGCCTGTTTATGATAAGCGAAGTGATATTGTCAAATCTATCCCTGACTTTTGGTTGACTGCTGTTAGTGATCCTACTTGAACTGTTTTGTCAACTGAAATTACTTGCCTCCTGTTATGATGTCTTTAATACAGCTTTCAGAGCCTTTTGTATTTGTGATCTGTTGCTTATTTCATGCAGTTTCTGAGTCATCCTGCTCTTAGTGACCTTCTGACTGAAGAAGACCAAAAGGTTCGGATTTTTGCCCTCTCTCTCCAAAAATCCTGCTGACTTCTTTCTTTTTTATTCTAAATTACTAATAATCTTTTACGCCATGGAAGTCAAAATGAGCCTTTCTAAGAAGATTGTTATGAAGTGTATCTAGTCTGATTTATATTATATTATAACCTGAGTTGCCTTTTGAATGCTAGGTTTTCAAGTATCTAAATTCCCTTGAAGTTGAAGATTTTAAAGATGTGAAATCTGGTTACTCTATTACATTTGTAAGTCTTTTGTATTTTCCCCAGCCTAGGTGGAAACAGTATCTGAAGGTCTGTTTGACATTTTTTACCAAGGATTTTCAATTTGTTTATCTCTTTTTATTTTTTTAGAACTTCAATCCCAACCCTTACTTTGAAGATACAAAGCTGACAAAGACTTTTACCTTCCTTGACGAAGGAATTACAAAAATAGATGCTACATCAATCAAGTGGAAAGAGGGCATGGTAAGAAATTTCTCTCCATGTGCTTTTATGTATACAAAACTTGTCTGTGTCATTCTAGTATTGTCATGTATTGTTTTGTGAAGGGCATACCAAATGGAGTTGCTTATGATAAGAAAGGGAGCAAGCGACCTCATGCTGATGAAAGGTTGGTAGTTTTGATATTTGGATTCTTTTGTTTTAGTCATGGTGGGGTCATACTAGTTTGTTGCCATACTGAGATATTTTATCTTTCTGATTATGTGAGGCTTTAATATCTGTTTGGAACCCTCACCCACAGCACTGTCACTAACTAACAAAGAGCGGATTTGATTTTTATTGAACTCACAGTTAGTGAGTTTGCTGATCAGTCTTGTAACTTATTACCTCTATCCATACATGGTAAACTACAGACTATCTTAAAATGGTCAAATTTGGTTTTGCCCAAGTATGTCCATGGCTGAGCTTTTATGCTTTCCAAAAGTGGTGTAATTTATTTTGATTTATATACTAGGTGCATACCACTGCTTGCTTCAGAAGAGATAGACATGTTAGGATCTTCAGAATAATATCAAGCTAATTTATATGGGAACATTTTAGTTTGCTTCGAATCGAGGTGACAAAAGTTTTCCATGCAGAACAACTGTATGTTAAATTGTTTGCTTGGAATGATGGTGGATCTCAACTTCGTTAGTCTGACAAAACTCAATGGCCCACTTGCATGCTTTCTCAGATGAACAAAATTTACACTAATTTACGTGGGGTCATTTGTTTCGAAGGTGACGGCTGTTTTCCATGCAAAACATCTATTATTTTTTATTGTTTGCTTTGAATGATAGTGCAGTGAACGTCTTTTTTGTGTAAAATTCTCCATGAAGGTTTCTGGTCTGCTGCAACCAGTTTCAATTTTTTCGCCAGAATTTAGATATTTCTATCCTATTATATAACATTTAGATATTTCCATTCTATTATATAAATCAAATAGATCCATTGGTGTGTCTGGTCTCTCATCCTTTTAAATTATGATTTGGCACGACTAAAAGAAGTTGCATGCAAGAAAATGACGGACAAAAATGAATAAAAAAATAAGCACTTAAAAAGAGTAATTAAGCCTATGACGGAAAAAGAAAGTGGGATGTGGGTCACATGTATTGCTCATGGCACACAAGGTTTGAAGTATCGGCTGTGCCTGATACGACTCGGCCACTACCAATCTGATAATGATACACGATATGAGGATTTTACGAGCCTCTCAGAAATTGGTCACGACTCGGTCCAAATCCGTTTTGCGATTATGCAAAAAGAACAAGGAATTGAAGAAATTTGTAATCCAAATCCTATAAAATAGTGTAACCTTGAACATCAAAAGCCCCTTTGTTTTCCTCCTTCTCTCCCTTCTTCTTTGTCTTTGTCTTCTTATTTTTCTTCAGATCTAGTCCCCAATCACACAGCAATGAACAGTTCCTTAAATCTGTCTCTCAACTAGTGTTCCTCTCTTTCGTTCTCGCTCTCTCTTTGTTTCTCAATCTCGGGTTCTCTCTCTCTCTTCAAAGGTGGAGGAGTGAAGATAAAGAGCCTACATCTAACCCACTACTCTTAAATATGTTGATTAATAGTTTTTTCTCGTAATTTATGTTTAATTTTTTAGTCTCTTAAAAATATTGTTATAAAGTTTTGTTGACATGTTTTTTATATGTAGTCGACATCTATAATTATATAAATCAATATAATTTTAAATACTTATATTGAACACTAATGTAATTAACATCTTTTATCTAGCATTTTGAGTGTATTGGTTGATATCGTGCCGCAATGTCGCGATCGATGTGTATTGGTTCCTTTAAAGTCGATGGCCAATACCGCAACCTTAAACCATGATGGCGCGTGACTTTCTAGTGCTCAACTAATGAAGAACTCTGAAACTCGTAGATAGGGCTGTTAAACGAGGCAAGTTTGAACATTTTTTAAAGTTCGTTTATGTGTAAATAGTCAAACAAGCTAGCTCGTTTATGTGTAAATTCAGTTTGATTTAGGCTTGAATTCAGCTCGATTAACACCCCTACTCGTAGAGAAGAAAAGCTTAAATGATGATGCACTACAAGTAGTAAATATTTCGTTCTGATTGATACTATTTTATTTATTAGCAATGCATAACGTGCGTTGTACGTAAATAAATTTAAATAATATTTTTTATACAAAACGTGAATTATATTTATAATTAAATAAAATAATAAATTATGTATTGAATAATTAATCCATATTTTAATTATTACTTTATTCTATAAGTCTTTGAGTAGCTAATCTGTCATTTATTATCTTCGACCTCTTTTGACATTTATACATCTAATTATATTATAGAATTATTAATTTTTATTTTGTTAAATAGATTTATATTATATTATTGCATACTAAAAAATAAAATATAACATATATGTGATCGTTGAATTCAATCTAGTAACTATATGTATAAGACATTACTTCTTCTTATAGATATAGAAGATTACTAATAAATGAATTCAAAAGAATTTAGAAGTCTTTATAAAAGAGTCCAAAACAAGTTGAAAATCAAATAGGAGTAAAAAATAAAAATTAAATGAAAGTATATAGGTGGGTATAATTGACTTTATTATAATAATTAGGGATAAAATAGAAAATCAAAAGTTTTTTTTTGTAGATATTGACATTTATAAGTAGTATAGATAGAATTCATAGCTTTTAGCATAAAATCTAACTATCAAAAGTTTTTATAGAGAAGTACATTATTTAGGTTGGTGTGCTTGTATTGTTCACCTGCTCTGTTTCACTTTACATGTTTTCTAGATACTTCTCTTGAAGTCATTGTTGTGCTTTATTTTGTTTATGGGTTGTGTCAGTAATTGTTTGTTGTCAGTACATACTACAGATGATTAGATTTTGTGTTACAACATCTTTTTATGTTTTTGCTTATTGAATTTTTGTTGTTAGTAGTATTTTCTGCTTTTCCCTAATTGCAAAAAGGGAGTTTTTTTGTGGGGGTCGGGGGTTAGTTGGCTGCTGGCTGCTGGCTGCTCTCTATTAATAGGAGGAAAATAAGCGATCTCATTCTCACTGACTTTGTGTGATTGTCGATTGGTGGTTGTGTTTGCATATTTAGTCTTGGCACGGTCATGATATGCATTAGGTGGCATTATTCATCTTGTTCAATTTATTATTATGATTGTCATATGCATCTACTTATTTGCTTTCCATGCACCACAGGCATTCTCTTAATTGGATGAGAAAATTTCACATGCATTCATCTTTATGTTCAGTTCATTTTTCTNAAAACGTGAATTATATTTATAATTAAATAAAATAATAAATTATGTATTGAATAATTAATCCATATTTTAATTATTACTTTATTCTATAAGTCTTTGAGTAGCTAATCTGTCATTTATTATCTTCGACCTCTTTTGACATTTATACATCTAATTATATTATAGAATTATTAATTTTTATTTTGTTAAATAGATTTATATTATATTATTGCATACTAAAAAATAAAATATAACATATATGTGATCGTTGAATTCAATCTAGTAACTATATGTATAAGACATTACTTCTTCTTATAGATATAGAAGATTACTAATAAATGAATTCAAAAGAATTTAGAAGTCTTTATAAAAGAGTCCAAAACAAGTTGAAAATCAAATAGGAGTAAAAAATAAAAATTAAATGAAAGTATATAGGTGGGTATAATTGACTTTATTATAATAATTAGGGATAAAATAGAAAATCAAAAGTTTTTTTTTGTAGATATTGACATTTATAAGTAGTATAGATAGAATTCATAGCTTTTAGCATAAAATCTAACTATCAAAAGTTTTTATAGAGAAGTACATTATTTAGGTTGGTGTGCTTGTATTGTTCACCTGCTCTGTTTCACTTTACATGTTTTCTAGATACTTCTCTTGAAGTCATTGTTGTGCTTTATTTTGTTTATGGGTTGTGTCAGTAATTGTTTGTTGTCAGTACATACTACAGATGATTAGATTTTGTGTTACAACATCTTTTTATGTTTTTGCTTATTGAATTTTTGTTGTTAGTAGTATTTTCTGCTTTTCCCTAATTGCAAAAAGGGAGTTTTTTTGTGGGGGTCGGGGGTTAGTTGGCTGCTGGCTGCTGGCTGCTCTCTATTAATAGGAGGAAAATAAGCGATCTCATTCTCACTGACTTTGTGTGATTGTCGATTGGTGGTTGTGTTTGCATATTTAGTCTTGGCACGGTCATGATATGCATTAGGTGGCATTATTCATCTTGTTCAATTTATTATTATGATTGTCATATGCATCTACTTATTTGCTTTCCATGCACCACAGGCATTCTCTTAATTGGATGAGAAAATTTCACATGCATTCATCTTTATGTTCAGTTCATTTTTCTTTGCACCATTGTGAATGCAGCTTCTTTAGCTGGTTCAGTGAAACCCAACAGAAAGATGATATGGATGAGATTCATGATGAGGTACAGTCCTATTATTTGACCTTTGAAAAAAAGGTCTCTTTATTTGCTCATTTTGATACTTTGCTCTTTGCAGGTTGCTGAAATAATTAAGGAGGATTTATGGCCTAATCCTCTTACTTATTTTAACAATGTAAGTTCTTTTCCCGGTTTACCTTCACACATCAATTGATTTCACTTAAAACTGAATTTTCTAATGTTAGTGGATTCTTTGGTACAGGAGGCTGATGAAGAGGATTTTGAGGGAAATGAAGGTGATGATGAGGTAAATGAGAATTATATCTTCAATTACTAATGCTGTTGTGTCTATCATGTTCCGTCTTATCCACAAAAAGGGATAAACCATCATCATGTTAGAGTAGTAATTCATGCTTTGTTGTGGTTGTCTTATTAGCTTTTAGTTAATTTTTCACAATGTTTGTGACACAAGCATTAAGTTCAAAGGATTCATTTTGTTCTTACTGATTGAAGAAGTATCTAGCTTAGTGAAGCAAAGGTTTAGCATTTTGAGGATCTGCTTGGGGTTAGAGCATCTCCAATAGTACTATCTATTTTAGAGGGAATCTGTTTTGAAATAGAGAGCATCTTTGATAAAATTTTGAAATAGAGTGAAATATTTTAGACAACTCCAATGGCTCTCTATTCTACTTTCATGTGTCTTCAGTTGAATATAGTTCGTGATCATTTTATTGTTGAAATTATGGTCTCTTTTCTGCGGACACTGCTATATTAATGTGAACAAGGCTTTTGAAGATTGCATATAGGATCCATTTATGGAATTAATGCAGTGTCCCAACAGTAAATCCTGATCTCACAGAAAAATACATTCCAGTCAAATTAACTGGCTTCTGTATTATTGCCTTTTCCTTGTATGTGAAAGTCTTTTTTCCCCCCCGAAAGGTCCTTGTTTGTGGAAGTTGCTGAACCAGACAATTATGAGCACTTGCCTGTTCAGCAAGTGATTGCTTGAATGCCCTGGCGGAGCCTCTGTCCCACCCTCAATTTTTGAAAGAATTTTTATGGATAGTTGGATACATATATATGTGTATATATATTAAAAATTCCAAAAATTTACCTTGTCACTTTCGTATATACACATAAGGGTGTTAATCGAGATGATCTACTTGGGGCTTGGCTCAGAAAAAACTCAGTTTGAGCTCAACTCATGTTCTAAACAAGCTGAGCTTGAATAAATTTTTAGGCTCATTTAGAACGAGCCTAGAAAGCGTGGCTCAACCTCGTAAAGTTCGACTTATTTATATGTAAAATAGTCGAGTTACTTGGGCGGGCAGGTCAAGTTCGTAAAGCTTGGCTCGATTAACACCTATATACACACACCTATGTGACTAATCACTTTATGAACATGTTTTGGGCACCTTCGAGTAAGTTTTGGACACTTATGTTTGAATTTTGTAATCTTATTAAAGACATCACAATGATATCGAATAAAAATTAGCTATGGTCATTGTGTACTATAAGTATAGGATCATTTTTTGTGAGTATATGAAAGGACAGGGCCACCACATAAAATGACAGAACCCTTAAAAACTCAAAAAGCCCGATATATAAATATGTTCGGCGGATGAGATTATGTTCACCATATGAGACAGAGGTAGGGACTAAGAAAGTTAGAGAGAAATTGAGAGAGGAGGAGATATGATGACAACTAGGTTTCTCTCTGACAATTATGTGGCCCTTTGATGAGCTATGACTTACTTTTATTTAAGGTCCAATGATTCGACTGCAACACTCCCCTGATTTTTCAGTTACACTAACCCTTGTAACCATGATTTTTTTTTCTCTGTGTAATTTGGTTTCAATTGGCTTACAATTGACTTATTTTTTTAATATAAATGTACTAACATCGTCCCCGTGCAATGCATCGGATTTACAATCCTCCCATTTTCTTCCTTTTCACCCTTCACCCCTCTCCCGCCCTTATTAATTAGTATAGAAGTTTAAAAAACTATGGAAAATTGTAAGGGATAAAAATTAAATTTTTTAAAAATTCAAATCAATAGTGGTTAGTTGGTTAGAGAGTGGAGGAGTGGTCATAGGAGCTAAGTATTGAGTTGCGAAAGTAACCTTAGTTTGGTATTATAAAAAATCAAGAGGAAAGGTTTCTCAAGCCCTCTCCTCCCTAATTTGTTTGTTTTATAATATAGATAGACTAGTAATTGTTTGTGCCTGAAGGTATGGTTTAACAAAAAATTAAATTATAACTCGAAAAATATTACATTGGCTAAAGACACTTTGTAACCTAAAACAAACTGTCAATTTAAAAAAAAAGTACAATAGTTTTTCCACTTGAGAGGATACATGTTGTGAATACATCTCCACTCCCAGCTGTCATAATCCAACCACTCATGATCCAAAAAGCCTTTCAAAAAGGAAGGATCCAACCAGGAAAAATGATAAAACCCACAAATTATATTTGTGATGTAGCCATCAATTATCAGAAATTAATTAATAACCAACTTTAAAACCCAAAGCCAGCAAATTTAGACACGATCCACCAAAATTTAAGGTAGAAACATATAGCCCACCTCAAGTGGAGGCTTTGAAACCTAGATCACGTATCTTGAAGTATTTTAACAAATCTAATCTAACTTTTGATGTTAATATATCTATGAGTGAAGTATTTTAACAATCAGTTAGCATACAACATCCAATTTGTCACAAATCTTATTTCACCAATTAAAAAACCATAAAGTCTTAAAGTCGATTTGATCTAACAATCTACATTTTAAACTACAACAATATCTTACTGGGATATGAAAAATCATTGCACCCAAATAATAGCACATAACAATTACCAAACTCAAATAGATCCCAATAGTAGTTTTCAGGGGTGTTAAACTTTCCAACCCATTAATCTAAGTTTTGACGTTAATATATCTATAAGTGAAGCATTTTAATAAACAATTAGTGTACAACCTTCAATTTGCCACAACCCTTAATTAATGAAAAACCCCAAATTTGTGAATGTCACAAACCCTATTGAATGGAAAACCCCAATTTGAAAAATCAAACATTCAATTTATTACAAAACTTAACACCTAATTAGAAAACCTAACATTCAACTTCCTACGAAACACCCAAATTAACACGGAATGTGTGTTTACTGTGTTTTGTGTGTCTGCATGCTGTTGTGTGTGTGCGTGTGTTGCTTTGTGTGTGTGTGTGTGTGTACGTGCCTCTGCCTTGAGTGGGTGTGCGAGCGTGATCTGTGGTGTGTTGTGTGTGCATGTGGTGTTGGGTTTTTTTTTGTGTGTGTGCGTGAGGTGAAGGAAGAGAGGTATGACAAAGAGTGTGACTGGGGAGAGAGAGAGAGAGGAGGAGGAGGAGGAGGAGGAACAAAGAGGAAAGTTGGGAAACAGAGGGTTAGGGGAGGGGATGTTCGTAGAGGCAACCGAAGAAAGGGGAGGGCTTGGGTTTGGATTCAGGGTTGTGTGTGCATTTAGCATAGAGAAGGGAGTGAAAGAAATACCTAGAGGTTGTGCTGGTGCTCGCGGTGGTACTGGTGCCTAGTGATGGCACTTGCTGTGGCGTTGGGATGAGAGAGTTGAAGGAGGTAGACGGAGAGGGAGTGAGGCGGCGATGGTGGATGTCTAGACTCCAGCGTGAGATTGAGAGATGCGAGAGTGAGAGTGAGAGAGAAGAGAGAGAATAGGCAATGGAACCGTTCAAAAAAATTAAAAAATAAGAGGTGGTGATTGAGATATTTTTGGGAGGGAAAGTGGAGAAATAAGATATTTTTTTCACCGTTAGATCGACTTTGAACCATGTGGAATAATTTGAGCCGTTCTTGTGCTTTCCCAACTTTTAGATTCAAAAACACCTTTATCTTATTATTATAGTTATAGATATATAGATCTGATAAAACTGAGAGACTTGGAAGAGAGACGGGACTCTAATGTTGGAAATGAAACGAAACTCTTAGTCCAATTCTTGGGAGGGAAAAAAATTTGGGAATCAATTAAGATCATTAGATTAACAATTTTGAAATGATTTGAGGTGTTTGAACGATTTTACAAGTTTGGAGTTTGAAATTATTTGTACTTTATTATATAGATTATTTTATTTATTTATTGGAGATACAAATTAAATTGTGTGGTTAAAGCATCCACCCAAAGTTAAATTTGTCAGGTTCCGTCCTTGCTTGCATGTTGGGCAACTATAGAAATCTTAGTTATGGGATCATGGATTTGTCCTGCTGGAGAATTGGATCTATGTTGGGCTACATGGTCATTCAATTATTGCTGTTGATATGTTTTTCATCTGGCTGCACTTCAGATATGCATTATTGTATAAAATGGCTGAAGGGTTGATTCTCTGTGTGCGCGTGTTTATATCTAATTTGAAGACTACGTCACAGATTGATATGAAAACTTATTCAGTAACGTTAATCAATACCTAAGTTTTTGCCTAGGGAATTCTGCATGTGAAACTCGTTCATCTGATTTCTTAATCTCTGGCAGGAGAAGGCAAATGACGTCTCTGAAGACGACGACGATGAGCAAGAAGATGATGAGGATGACGAGGATGAAGGCAATTAAAGTCTTCATCTTTCTGTCTGCATCTTTTAGTTTTCATCCCTCTGGTTTCTGTAAAGCGGTTCTGAGTTGCAAGGGTCACAGGGCATGATATCTGTTCACCCTTTTGGTTCTGGTTTTTGTTCTTCAAATAGGAGCGAAGGATCTTCTTCCCCCTAATATATGCACTTTGCTAGATGATGAGGCCGTGCAATTAGTTTTAGCTTTCAACTTTGAGGGGTATTGTGATTTCCATTGAGGAAATAGTTAATTTGTACTTTTGAATGTAAAGCTGTCTGTTCAACCTACATATGCAGATTGGATTTGCAGAATCGCATGCTATTTCTTTTCTACCAAGCTAGAAAGTCCCTTAATTTGATCTCATTTCGTCATATAATTAGATGAAAAAAGTTATTTCTTGGTACTATGCCTCTTTTGTTATTGAAGTTTTACCCGTATTTTGGAGGATGATCTCTTAATTTTTCTCTTGTAGATCCTCTATTGTGAGATGAAATGGAATTAGACTATTAATGTTTGTACAATTGAAGGGAATTAAGGAAATGTATCATCCGGGAGGATGCAAGGTCCAAAATTATAGCTTTTTGAACTCGTACCAAATGATTTTCACCAAAAAAATGGTGTCACTTGGTGCATATTTTAAAGGGTAAATATCATAATTGGTCCTTAAAGTTTGCTTTTGGTTTTAATTTGGTTCTCAATTATCAATTATCTCAATTTAGTTTCTCAACTATCAAATTCCTGTCAATTAAAGCTCGAAATTTATATTTTTATTGGTTATTTTTGATTAATATATAATTTTGCAGGCTTTGTTTAGTTGTCATGTGTTTTGAGATAACTATGTTGGAATTGATGTATACATGTTCAAATTATACTTGTGTGGCATATTTTGTGAAATATGATTGTGGTTCCAAGGGGTATGATTGTGGCCTTGCGGGTTATACTTAATCAATATGAGTTTAATTTATATATTTAAGTGTCATTTGCCATGTTATTAAGATAAACCAAGAACGAGATTATGTTGATTGTTAGGTGATATGTATTTGATTCATGATTTTGCAGTGTCCACGATTGACTACAGCTCGAGTTATTTGATACTCGATCATTCATATTGTTATCGTTGAATATATTATGTCATGTCATATTTTATACTTATGTGCTTAATTATTTTTTCATAATGATATGTGAGGAAAGTACAAGGATTGAGATATTAAGAATCAAAGATTTGTAACTTTTATTTTCACCATTATAGTTATATTAGTTGAGGAGATTCATTTGTATATTTTAGAGATTCTATTGTGGTTATTTTTACCTGTTTTTGAGATAATTAAAACTCTGTCATTTTAGTTAGAGATATAATTATGGTTGATTTTGTTAATTAATGTTTTCAGAGCGGAGCGTTACCCAATGATTAAATGCTCTCATGAGGCGGATTCATACAAGCATTTTATCAAATATGTAAAGTGCTTAAAGTTGTAGGTTGTAAAGATATGCAAGCACAATCACAACCACAACACAAGAGGATTTGTATGTGAAAATCCATCTTGGAAAAAACTACCGGACCATATTCCATCAAACCTAATCCAGATTTAAAATGTCTTATACTTTATTATATAGATGTCAAACAATTTTAATAAGAGCGTGACTTTATTGGAAGATATATCTTATCACATGAACATAGGTATTGTAATTTAGTGGCATGCTAAAGAATATGGTTTAAAAATAATTCTTTGTCCAATCATAAAGTGACACACATTAAATTGTATTAGTCTATTAATTTATTTATTCTATTATTTTTATAATTAAAGGTTATAAATAACTTGAATTAAAATCAACGAGTTCGGTATGATAACAAAATGTTAAATTACTCAGCATTAAAAAAAATCTCGGTAAGGTCACAAAAAAAATTCTTTAATTCTACAATAATTTAGACAACACTAGGCAAAAATCCAAAAAAAAAAGACATTTTCTTTATATAATATTAGTAAAAATAGGTTTACCATAACAAAATTAATTAATTTGTATTTAATATTAATTTATTCTATTTATTATCCTTGGTAATGAACACTCAGTTCTAGTTTGCATATAAAAAATTAAAGATTAATTGAATTGGAGGTCCTCAAATATGAGATTTATTTCATTTTGGTTTTTAATATTTTAAATGTATTATTTTTATTCTTGAATTATTGAATATATTAATTATGTGGTCTCTCAAATAGACAACGTCCAGATTGTTAATAATTTTTAGTTATAAACTTATCATATAATACTTAAATATAAACAAAAAATAATTTAGATAACTCTAAAACAAATTTTGGTCAAAAAATTATCCAAATTACATAGTTTTTATAAAATTTTGATCAAGAAAAATCTAAATTTTAATCAAAAGCTAACCAAATTATTTTTTTTTTCCCCATATTTAAGTTTCACATGACAAGTTTATGATAAAAAATTATTAATAATTTAAATATTTTCTGCTTAAAGAATCATTTAAAAATATATTCATTACTTTAAGAATTAAAATGATGTAATTAAAATATTGAAGACTAAAATAAAATTAATTTTATACTTTAAAGACCTTTAATGTAATTAACCTAAAATTAATAATCAAACCAACCCCACCAATGTCTTTTTTGCACTTTTGCCCGGTGGCATCTTCATTGACTTAGTCATCATTATTTTTTGTGGGTGATTAGATTCTCTTTACCAGTAGGCACATTGGTACTGCATAAAGACAAGGACAACTTTGGTTTGGCTCTAAGACTAATAAGAGGAGGTATCAACTCCAACCTTATAAGTACTTGTAGATGGCCGATTCAAAGGGCTCAGCGGGAGCTGAGTTCAGATGGCCGATTCAGCTATTCCAACTGTTGATCTCTCTCCTTTCTTCACNGTATGATAACAAAATGTTAAATTACTCAGCATTAAAAAAAATCTCGGTAAGGTCACAAAAAAAATTCTTTAATTCTACAATAATTTAGACAACACTAGGCAAAAATCCAAAAAAAAAAGACATTTTCTTTATATAATATTAGTAAAAATAGGTTTACCATAACAAAATTAATTAATTTGTATTTAATATTAATTTATTCTATTTATTATCCTTGGTAATGAACACTCAGTTCTAGTTTGCATATAAAAAATTAAAGATTAATTGAATTGGAGGTCCTCAAATATGAGATTTATTTCATTTTGGTTTTTAATATTTTAAATGTATTATTTTTATTCTTGAATTATTGAATATATTAATTATGTGGTCTCTCAAATAGACAACGTCCAGATTGTTAATAATTTTTAGTTATAAACTTATCATATAATACTTAAATATAAACAAAAAATAATTTAGATAACTCTAAAACAAATTTTGGTCAAAAAATTATCCAAATTACATAGTTTTTATAAAATTTTGATCAAGAAAAATCTAAATTTTAATCAAAAGCTAACCAAATTATTTTTTTTTTCCCCATATTTAAGTTTCACATGACAAGTTTATGATAAAAAATTATTAATAATTTAAATATTTTCTGCTTAAAGAATCATTTAAAAATATATTCATTACTTTAAGAATTAAAATGATGTAATTAAAATATTGAAGACTAAAATAAAATTAATTTTATACTTTAAAGACCTTTAATGTAATTAACCTAAAATTAATAATCAAACCAACCCCACCAATGTCTTTTTTGCACTTTTGCCCGGTGGCATCTTCATTGACTTAGTCATCATTATTTTTTGTGGGTGATTAGATTCTCTTTACCAGTAGGCACATTGGTACTGCATAAAGACAAGGACAACTTTGGTTTGGCTCTAAGACTAATAAGAGGAGGTATCAACTCCAACCTTATAAGTACTTGTAGATGGCCGATTCAAAGGGCTCAGCGGGAGCTGAGTTCAGATGGCCGATTCAGCTATTCCAACTGTTGATCTCTCTCCTTTCTTCACAGATGGTGATGAAGATGGAAAGAAGAAGGCCAAAGAAGTAATTAGGCAAGCATGCTCCGACTATGGATTCTTCCAAGTTGTCAACCATGGTGTACCCCTCGCTCTGATGAACCGAGCCATGGATCTCTCTAAGACGTTTTTTGCCTTCCCGGACGAGGAGAAGCTCAAGTGTGCTCCACCTGCGTCCGATGCACCTGTCCCTGGCGGTTACAACAAGCAGCCGGAGCGATCTCCGGACAAGAATGAGTACGTGTTGATGTTTCCACCAGGGTCCAGCTTCAATGTCTTCCCCACAAACCCACCTGAATTCCAGTACGTCTGTCTATAACTTCCTACACCAACATGCATCTATACGACTAGTAGAAATTAAAGGAAAAAGTTCCATTGCATTATCTTCGCATATTGTAAATTTAGGTGTTTTAAGCTCGAATTTTGATAACCCCTTAGATTAGGTTACGAAAAATTTATCCGTTATGAATTTTATAGTCCCAACGTGGATGTACTTCTAATCATATTTAGGAAGAGAATAATCGAGATACACATAAGTTGGATCTAGACACTTTTGACTGTTGAATAAAAAAAAAAATTTTGTTTTTTGGTCTATCAATTATCAACAACTTCAAGGATCGAGGGCAATTTCAAAACCCTTTTCACAACTTGAAGATTCTTAATCCCTGCATCCCTTTATAATCTGAAGGCTACTTATTCATAAAAGAGGTACAAATTTATGAAGCCCGCTAAGGTCCTCAACACAAAGTACAGTGACAGACTAAACTATTTAAATTTGACAACTTATTTTTCGATTTATATTTTAACTTCTTCATTGTAATAAATACGGGTGGCTCAACAATATTTGGCGCCTAAAGTAATGACGGCCGATAAGATTTTTTTATTTTTTTAATTTAAAATCTATTATTTTTATTTTTTGATGAGATTCAAAATTATTAATTATTTTTTTTGTTTTTTAATAAATGTGATTGTGTGAGGTTGTCTAGACTTTTGGGCCCAAATTTTTAATTTTTTTTGTTGGTTTACTCTTTCAAAAATTATTTTGCTACGCTATATTGTAATAAATTTTATTTTTTTAACTTATATTATATTATTAATTTTTAAATTTGGGGCCTTTTTCATATGTGAGGCCTAAAGTCTACGCATTTATTTTTATTAAAGAGGGTGGACCCTAAATTTACTTATTAACCATAATTGATCTACTCATTTTATGTTTTAACTGCAACAAAAGAAATAGTACCTACCTGGCATGCATTGCCCCGGTAACGTTAGTATATATCTATACTAGTTATAATTCGTGTCTGAAAGTACAATGAAATGTAAAATTCGAGCACTCAAAAAATCGATCCTACTGTATTAATATTTTTTTTAATATGTGATAGAAGTGAGTGATGTGATATTTTTAGGAAAGAAAGTATGCAGAAGTTATTATGTGTTTTATTATACAGAAGATATAAGTTAGCCCAATATATATATATAAGTATTTTATGGTTAATTTTTTAAAGAAACAAAGAAAATTTGTTCAGTGTGTTGGAGAATTTTCAGATCATGCAATAATAAGCAGGGCGACTCAAGAACATGTGAAGCCTAAAGCATTAAGTGTTAAGGAGACTTTTTTTATTTTTTATTTTTTGTGATTCAAAATTACTAATTAAAATTTTCTTATCCAAATTATGCGAACATATTTTTGGAATTGATATAAGACATTTGAGCATAAATATTTTGATAGGATAATAATCTATTACCTTATTAAGATTTTTGTGTTCTTCTTATTTGTTTTGTATATGATTCACCGAAATTGTATTATTACATAACTGACTATTATTTGAAATACATTCATTTTTTATTTTTTTTATAGGATCTTTTACTTGTTTATGTTTGTAACTTTCACCTAATTTTTTTTTTTCATATTTTATTCATTACAAGTAACAACTTTATTAAAAGATTTTGTTTTTTTGAAATTAAATCAATTTTGTTTTTTGAATCCTTTATGAGAATAAATAATTTAGTTAATGTATTGTGCTTAAATGATAACAAAATCGAGTTTTTAAAAAATAGATAATGTGCTGAGTTTGTTTTTGTTTGTGTACGTCTCCCTTCTTTTTTTTTTTTTTCTTCTATTGAGCCGGCACCGGCAATGAGTGTCCTCATATTAATGATAACAATATATAATGCAGGAAGATATTAGAAGAGATGTTCACCTACTTCACCAACACAGCTCAACTTATGGAGATCATTTTAAGTGACTGCTTAGGTCTCTCTCCCAACTTCCTCAAAGAATACAATGAAGATCGAAGCTGGGATTTAATGGCGGCCATGCATTACTTTGCAGCAACAGACACTGAGAACACTGGTGTATCCGAACATGAAGATCTAAATCTTATCTCCTTTGTGTTCCAGGATGAAATTGGAGGCCTAGAAGTTCAAAAAGATGGACAATGGATTCCTGTTCCTCCGATTCAAGACACATTGATTGTCAATGTCAGTGATGTTATTCAGGTAATTAATCATAAGATCTTCCATTCTAACTTGGATTACAATCATATTCTTAGGCACTCGCCAATACAAAATTAACGGATTTAAATGTTAAGAATGTGGAGTATGTGGAGTCATCGATGCGAATTTGACTAAAGATTCATGAATAAACTAAGTGAACTCAACAGTACAAAATTAGAAATGGTTTTCAAGTGAATTGCATAATTTTGACATGACGTGACTTAGACACGACACAAACCTAATACGATATGAGTCATGCAAAATTGCAAAGGTACACCACTTGTTTGTTCTGATATGGATTATTTCTTCTTGTGTTTGTGACAAATGAAAATACTGGCAGGTGCTAAGCAACAACAGATTCAAGAGTGCGACTCACAGAGTGGTGAGAACAAAGGGAAGAAACCGCCATTCCTTTGCCTTCTTCTACAACTTACAAGGAGACAAGTGGGTTGAACCACTGGCACAGTTCACCACAGAGATTGGAGAGCCACCAAAGTACAGAGGATTTGTGTACAAGGACTACCTAGCTTTGAGGAAGAGAAACCTGACCCACCCACCATCTAAACGTGAAGATTTTATCAACATCACCCACTATTCCATTTCTACCTAGCTATCAAAGAAGAAACTTAGGACTGAAGTCCTACCCGAATGGTTGGAGACCTCCATAATGAAGTGGTATATTGATGGTTCAAGTCTTCCTCCCCTCCCCCTCCCTTGTAGTTTAAAATATCGTTGACTATCAAAAAAAAAAGAAGAAACTTTGTCAGTCCCTTAAACCTGTCTGTCAGGTGTAGTTTCTCTCATTTTGTGTGATCTTGTTTGTGATGATGTCCTTTACTCCTTTATATATATGAGTTGATCTCTCTTTATGACTTGATTGTAGAATTTTTAAAAAGAGAATGCTACTTAAATCTATTTTGCTTCTTAGTTTAGTCACCCAATTTACTAAATGTCCTTAAATTATCCACAAATTAGATTCAAATAACATCACTTAAAAAAATGTAAGAACATTCATTCTTGTGCTCCCTGGGAGCTGGCAACAACAACTAAGTAGTAAATAATAATATTATTTGAATCTAATAATTTTATCTAACGTTTTGGACTAATCCATTATCACAGTTAGATTGATTATTTGAAACACTTTCCTCCATGGAAGCATGGAGGGACCCGCAAAACTCATAGTTCACAGTGATTTTGACTGGGTTAACAGAATAAAAAATATGGTTGCGTGGAGGAAAGTTTGAGTGGCGCAAGGATGGTGATAAAAATAGAAATAGAGCAAACCACTCGGGCGTTATGTATCTATATATATCACAGTAAAGTCTGAGTACCTGACCGATTAGCAAAAATAGTGATGAGTCCCATCAGTCAAATGTTGGAAAGTCAGTCTATCGGTTTCTACTCTTCAATGGAAATTAAAACGATGATCCATTTATAATCGCCCATTAATTGAAATTACGAGTCCTCCAATTTTTGAAATGAGTGAAAAATTGATGAGGGAGGTTTTTACAGTGTTGTTAAAACACTTCGCCACTTCAATGAATAATCAGTTACGAAAGTTGTTCAATGACAACGTAACTTAATATTGTCAGGTCCAAGGATGACACGTTGTCTAGTTTTTTTTTTGAACTCTTTCAAGGTGAGGTCACGTAGAGTGGACCCTAAATATCTATAATCACATGCAAACTACAAACTTGGTAAATCTAGAAGAAAAAATTGAGGATTGTACCCAAGTTGTTTGAGTCTTATTCGTTTTAGATCAGTTCAAAACTATTGGATTACTTGGCGAGTTTATGGTTTCTTAATTTTATTTGTTCTTATTTTTTTAGAAAAATTACATTCAGACTTATTAGAAATTTGTCATTTAATAACATAGAGTCCTTGACATTTAAAATATATGCACATAAACCCTTGTTATTAATGTCTATTAATATATTCAATAAATTATATCCAGACTCTTACCAAAAATACTACAATTAAAAATAAAATATTAAATATTATAAATTTAACAATCAAAATTCATATTTTATTATATCATTTATTAAAATAAAATTAAAATTAAAAATTTAATTTTTTCTTAAAAAAATCATAATTAGTATTATTGATGTCAAAATTTGGACGACCTTCATGTCAGTTTGTTGGACTTTGATTAGCTGAAAAAGAAGTTGAAGACCAAATGAGAGTTTCAGGGGTTGACTTTTCAATGCCTAAGTCAGTAAGTGACTTAAAAGTATGAATTGCATTTAAAAATTAGGAGGGATATACTTGGAGCATTAATTAAACACTCATTTGCATACAATTATAAGGGGTCAAACTATAATGTACATAATATTTTTTATCTTTAATTAAAGTAATTTGGTCGTTTAATAGATTCCGTTAGCTCCGTAACTAATAAGAGGTTAAAGTATAATATTTTAAACTTAAGAGGTTTAAGTGTACACATCTACAAATTTAGGGGGGCTGGGTGTAATTTTTTAAAAGACAATATTTTAAATATTAAAAGTTTAAGTGATTTAAGTGATAAGGGCTTGAGTGTAAATTTTCCTCCTGTTGTTTTCCGAGAGACGGGAAGACCTACATTAACCGCCGCGGGAATGGGTACAGATGCCTCAACAAAACTCCAACGTTTGAAACATCCAAAAGCCAAAAGATCCAAATAAACTTAATGGGCATGTATGTGTGTGCGTCACATCATCAGTAAGGTACGAGACTATACTATATATAATGCTACTAGTGGGCTTATCATGGAATTTTTTTTTTCAAAAGGTTTATATATATATATATGTATATATAATTCTGTAAATATAAAGATATTCATAAAGATAGGCCATTTAAATCAGATAGGGTATTCATAAAAGATAAATTTTTTATAATTTATAATATAAAAGAGGTCAAATTTTAATAAATTTATTAGATGGTATCAAATAAATTTATTTAATGACCATTGATATTTCGTTTAAAATTATTTATTTTGTATCGTACTTTTAAGTACGAATTACTCCTAACCTATAATATAAAGTAAAATAAGTTTGAGAGGCCCAACAAAACTGATTAAAGCATCAAAGGGCTCATAGAAAGCTGAGGTGAAATGGCCGACGCAGCTATTCCCACAGTTGACCTCACCCCTTTCTTCACAGATGGTGATGAAGATGGAAAAAAGAAGGCTAAAGAAGTAATTAGCCAAGCATGCTCCGAATATGGCTTCTTCCAAGTTGTCAACCACGGAGTACCCCTGGCTCTGATGAACCAGGCCATGGAGCTCTCTAAGACCTTTTTCGCGTACCCAGATGAAGAGAAGCTCAAGTGTACTAGGAATTCCGCCGGTGCGCCGATCCCCGGCGGTTACAACATACAGCCGGGACGATCGCCGGACAAGAACGAGTATGTGGTGGTATTTCCGGCTGGGTCCAGCTTCAATGTCTTCCCCACTAATCCACCTAAATTCCAGTACGTTTATACTTCTACTTTCCTTCATCAATATGCACTTATTATATGACAAAATAATAAAGAAAATTTTAGTTCACTCAGTATAAATAGACATAAATTCAGGGATGTTCATAGCAGTAGTTGAATTTAAGCTGTTTGCGTTTGTCTTTTAATAGGAAAACGGAATGAATGTTCGTAGGCTTAGAGGGAGTGTTATTAAAAATATGGCAAATTATACAGGGGCTTGATGAACTTTCCCTAATCATAATGGAAAATTGAAATTCCAAAAAGAATTGAGCATTATAGCTGTTTTTTTCTACCTATTTTTAATTTTATCTCCGTTCATTTTAATTTTACATTGCATAATTAAAAAAAATTAAATATATTACACGACCGATGGTCATTTTTTTTTTTATTGTAAAGTTTATTTAGGTACGATAATATTTTTAGTAACATAATATATGTATTTAGTTTCTAATAACCAACTCATATATACACTTGCAATAATCTTCTGGTGCTTGAAGACATTTTACAATACCAAAAATTGAACATTAAACATTGATCGTGCAAATATTTATATTTTAAATAATAAATTCTTTTTTTTTATTTTTTATTTTTTTAGTTTTGCAATTTAAAATTAAAGTGAAGAGAGATAATATGAGAGGTAAGTGTGGATTAATGAAATGTTTAGCATTGAGGGTCATGCAAAAATGATTATTTTTAAGGGGGAAAATTTTTTTTGGGATGAATTATGAACCATTTGATCAAAATAGATAAAAATTAAATTAAATTTTATAAGTTGAGAATTTAACTTTTTGCATGTAATATTAAATAAATATTTTTGATATATAATGCAGGGAAATATTCGAAGAGATGTTCACCTACTTCACGAAGGTAGGTCAGCTTATGGAGAGCATTTTTAGTGAATGCTTAGGTCTCCCTCCCAACTTCCTCAAAGAATACAATGAAGATCGAAGCTGGGATTTAATGGTGGCCTTGCATTACTTTGCAGCAACTGAAAATGAAAACACTGGTGTATCCGAACACGAAGATCAAAATCTCATCACCTTTGTGTTACAGGATGAAATAGGAGGCCTTGAAGTTCGAAAAGATGGGCAATGGATTCCTGTGATTCCAACTAAAGGCACTTTTGTTGTCAATGTCGGCGATGTTATTCAGGTAATTCTAAAGTTGATATATCTATTCATGTTTGATTGATACCTACATTGAACTTCGATTAGAGTAACCTATCTTCCATATATTTGTGACATACATTAAAGTCGTGTTAATCAAGACTAGTTTTTGTGGAGATTTGAGTACACTTGGCTTTGGCTCGATTGTAATTTTGTCAGCTCGACTGTTGTGTTGGATGAGTGGGTCTTACTAAAAAAATTGATGAGACCCACTTATATGAGGATAATATGTATTTAAGTTATAATTTTTTGAGTTTTATTTGAGTTGTGTAGTATTACTTTAGAATGACTTATAAATAGAGATTTCCTTCGACTAGAGTTGAGCCTACTCAAGACGATACCCACATTGATTAGATTCAGCTAATTTTGAGATTGAATCTGAGCTAAAACTCGTGCTGATCGTATTGGTTAAAATTATTGCCAGGTTTTGAGCAACAACAAATTCAAGAGTGCGACACACAGAGTGGTGAGATCAAAGGGAAAAAAACGTCACTCATTTGCCTTCTTCCACAACTTACAGGGAGACAAGTGGGTTGAACCACTGTCACAATTCACTACAGACATTGGAGAGCCACCAAGGTACAGGGGATTCCTGTACAAGGATTACCAAGCTCTGAGGAGGAAAAACAAGACCCACCCACCATCGCGACCCGAAGATGCGATCCGCATTACCCATTATGCCATTTCTACCTAGCAAAGAAGAAACTTGTCAATCAAATAAGGCTTTATTCTTGATTAAGAGAAATAAAGAGCTCATGAATGTGTCTCATTTCTTGCTGTCATGTTATGGATTGAAGGTGTATCTACGATGCATCAAGTATAGTTCCTCTAAGCAATATGGTTTTTGTGGTTAATGAGGTTATTTGCGATGTGTTCTTGTTTTCCCCGTTTCTGTGCTGATGGAGGAGCTGTTGTTCTGGTTTTTTCTATGCTTTCCCTGCTTGTGGTGTTTGCTGGTTCAGTGATTTCAGTCTTGCTCTGTTCATGTTTCTGTTTTGGAGGATTGCTTGATATGTTTCCTCTTCTTCCTTGGCTCTTTTTGTTATTGTATAGAATCTTCTTTTGTTATTGGGATGGTTCATCTTCTGCCCTATTTAGAAGATCAGCCATCCCTCCTGGCCCCTTTTCTGTCTTGGGGTGTGGTTATTATTTGGTGTACTCCTTCCGGGAACTTCTACGGTTCCAACGGTAGTACTGGTACTAAAAGTTATAACTTTTTTTGAAGGATAAATTACAATTTCAAAGGACATGATCGATCATAAAATGTTAGGATCGATATTACATTTTTCATGATCGATCATAAAGTTTTGTGATTGATCATGATCTCTTTGAGCAGTTGTAATTTTTCATTTCAAAGTTGTAATTTTATTAAACAAAGTAATAACTGGCAGTACTGGTACCAAAATTTTTTTTGGTGTCGCAGAGTTTCCCACTCCTTGTACATGTTTCTTTTCAGTTAATTGAATTATAGTTGAATTTTTTTGACATCGACAGATAAATAATAATTTTCGGCTCTAATTATCTCATCTAATTTACTCATTTAATCTAATAGATCGTATCTAAAACAATTTTCTCCATGGAAACTTGCAGGAATCATTCTCTTGCACAACCAACACTCCACGTAGACATAGCCTAGATTAATTGGATAAGATATGTCTTCGTGTAGGTGATGAAGGGATGATCGTTGGATTGATGCGCAGATAATGAGAAATTTCTTTTTGTTTGGATTTGGAAAAATTTGTTTCGCAGACGTCAGAAGATGAAGAAGAAGAAGAAGAGGAGGAAAAGACACGTTTTTGGTTCTTTTAGAATCGCAACAAATCACATTAGGAAGGTTATGTGGCTATTTATAAAGTTAGAGAGGTGAAAGTGAAAAAGAGCCCAACCACATTAAGTGAAATTTCCCTCAAACTATTTTGACGTAAAAGGAGAACTGGTTTTCATTGACAAGGGGATTTTGAACAAACAAGTTTGGCAAGGTTATATAACAAAAGCTGAGCTTGGAAAACTGAGTAGAATGTGCACACAATTGAGGACAGAGCTAGGATTTTATCATCGAGGGGCCACACTTCATATAGAAAAAACTCAGACCAAAAAATATGCACGAAATTTATATTTTAAAATTCAAATTTCCAAATGTATAGAAAAGTATCAGTCAAAATAGATATTTTATTTGAGCAAGAATATTGATAAAATAAAAATTTGAACTAAATAAATAATATTTTTATTCGTATTCTCACAATTTTCTATAAAAATTGTGCTCGACATTCTTTTCTATAATAGGAGGTCATTATGATTGAGAGATTATGGTTTTATGTAAAACAGTGCACAGGTGATTTCTTGTAATAATTTGAGATAATAATTTTTAAGATAAACTCAATTGTGATCCTGAAACAAGTAACAATGTTAGAAAGGAGTAGGGAGTGTACCTGACTTATTTCCTCTAAAATTTAAGTCAGTCAAAAATATGATTACGTGACATCTACTTGAGTGTTGATCATAGGCATGACATCTTACAATTATTGTTCAAAATGATAATAGCTTTCCTGTTATGCCTCATTAATGCTAGATGATGAGACAGGGGTAGATGCTTGTGGTGGACCGAGCATTCATAACCTCGGGACCCAAAACATCGAGTGCTCTATAATAAAGTACTCGTAATCTACTATTGAGCATTTAAGAGTAGACGGGCCGAGATCTCAGCCGAATACTCTCGAGGACTATCTAGTTACGATAACGACCATGCCTTGTCTTTTTAGAGTCTAAACTTGAGCCCCTTGTGGATAAGACAACAATGATAACATCTCACATCAGCACATTGCACGAGGATCATACTTCGATGAAAATTAATACTCGGGATAGACCATGCACATGCCCATTTCTATGTGTTTTGTACACTCTCGATTTGTGGTGTTCTTCGCTCGGTCTTGGTCTTTGGAAGCCCAGGGAATGCGCTTTGTTGGGTTGAATCAGCCACGTGTCGTCTTATGACCGGTAGGCAGCCCACATATGGTCTATCACTTTGTTCAATAAAAGAAGAATGGGAAATAGGAGGAAGTTGGAATGGGTTTTTGTCATTAAAATCAACATCTCCACCCCTTACTTTTTTTTAAAAGTCAAATTTAAATTTAGGTAAAAAAATCCCTAAAAGTATTAGCCAATATTATACTAAAACTCATACTAATTCAAATGAGACTCAAATTTTTACTTAAATTAAGGGAAACTCAAACTTTTATTCAAATCACTAAATGTTAAATTTCATTCTCTTTTAAAGATCTACTGATCGTATTTTATACTCTTTTAAATTTTGTTTGTCCTCTTATAATTTTGAGTTTGTTCTCTTTTAAATTTGAATTTTTCCATTGAAGTGTTTTGTATTAAATCAAATTTTTTACTTAAACATTGATTTGGTTTAAAATTGAACAATTTACCCCCTTAATGTTTGAATAATTTTCAATTAACTTTTACCATTAGTTGATCACTGTTAAAAATAACTTAAATTAATCAAAAACCCACAACTACCCTTGTTTTAATATTTTGTATAAAAATAAAAATCAAAAATCAAAAGAAAAAAAAAACTTAATTCCAGTAAAAAGTGAAAAACCCAAATCCCTCCCCCCCTCCACTGAAATCCACCCCCTTTCCCTTCCCTGAACCCCTTAATCCCTCCTCTTTCATTGAACCGAAACCCAAATACCTCCCACCCCTCCATTGAAACCGAAAACTCACCTCCACCCATCATTCAACTCCTTAATTCCTCCCTATCAACTGAACCGAGATTCAAATCCCTCCACCCCCCCTTACTGAAACCAAAACCCAACCCCATCGAAACCGTCCACCTCCACTGTGAATCTGATGGTTTTGTCGTTGAGTGGTGGCTGCAGTGGTTTGTGGTTTGGGTGGCTAGGTAGTTGCTACGATGGTTTGTGGCTACGTTGATAGCTGCGGTGGTTGTTGGCTAGTTAGTTGGGTGGTGGCTGTGGTGGTTTGTAGTTGGGTGGCTAGGTGGTGGCTACAATGGTTTGTTGGTTGGTTGATTGTGACTGTGGTGGTTGGTAGTTGCGGTGGTTGTGGCTGGGTGGTGGCTATGGTGATTTGTGGGCTCGTTGATTGTAATTGTGTTGGCAGTTGTGATGGGTTGTGGATGGTGGTGTTGGAGATTTTGGCTCAACTGGACAAAAAGAAAGGAAGAAAATGGAGATGAATAAGGCTAAGGGTACAAAAGTAATTTTAAATTTTTTGTCTAATTAATCAGTTAACTTGTTAATTTTAGAACTTGAAGGGGACAAATTGTTCAATTTTAAATCAAAGGGCCTGATTGAAATAAGATCCAAAGTTCAAGGGAGCATTTTGTAATTAACTCTAATTTTTATTATAGAGAGAATACTATTATTGAGAGGACTTGACTACGATTTTGAAGAAATAATTTTGGTATCATACCTCTAACTTTTATCACTTTAATAAGTATTTTTATAATTTTTGTCGGTCATTTTATAACAAAAAAATTTATCATTTTTATATGTGATTTATCATGTTTATATGTGTTTTTATCACTATTGTTGGTATTTTTACCACATTTGTGATAATTATTTTTACCATTTTTTTTTGTACAAAAAAATTTATCTAATTTTTGAATATTTTTATCATATTTGTGAATATTTTTACCACTATTGTGGTAACTACTTTTATCATTTTTTGGGTACCACAAGATTTGTAAAAAATCCACAAATATGATAAAAGTAAATATAAATGTGATAAATTGAGGTATGATATTAAAAAAAAATTTGGTACCGTAGTCAAGTCCTTTTACCACAGTTGTGGACCAAAGGCTGTAATTTTCCATCGATCAATCACCAAATATAAACTCATGAGTCGACTATGATACTGAATAAAAAATTTTGGTACCATACCACCAAAATTTACAAGTGCTGTGGGTTAGATACACATTTTAGGTTTGTTTATGATAATTTTTTTTGTAACATTATTACAACTTTTATGGTTCAAATTATAATTTTTGTGTGTCATTTACAATTTTTGTAGGTCATTTGATATCGATCCTAAAAGTTATAGGATTGATCACAATAATTTCAAAAGTTGTTAGGAATGATCACAAGTAATTTTAAAAGTTGAAATTATAAAAATAAACCACAAAACTTGTAATAACGCTACATGACCAAAAAAAAAAAAAAACAGAAACCCTTTTCGGTACCACAAACTAGATATATTTATATATTTATAGGAGACACGAACACTCTAGATATGAGAAAACTCCTTTGGTAATGGATACATATAACTAGGGGTTTCACCAAATACAAGGGTGGGGGTAGGCATGGCCCCCTAGCAGGGACGAAGCTAGGATTCCATCATGAACGGGACCAGACAAGAACAATGGCACAATCAAAAAATTATTTAATAGGGCTATTCATATATTGTCGTTAATATCAAGTTTTCAAAAATGGGGACTAAATCAAAAGTTTCTCATATAAATATGTTGTTTATGCACACAATTAAATAGTTCGTCAAAAGATTGTTCTCCATCCTATTTCAAAATCCATTTGAACAATATTTATAGCCGAAAAAATACAATTTATATGGTGATCATAAGAAAATTTTGTTCGACATATCTAAAATGAGGAGGTTATTCTCAATTTTTTTTTTCCAGATGGGTGGGTATTCTCACTAGTTCACAAAAAAATAAAAAAAAGGTTATTTTCATTTACTAACAGAATGTTTTTTTTGAAAGAATAAAATAGTAAATGACCTGATATTATATTTGCAGTAGGAGAATGTTTATATATATATATTAGTTATTACCTATGTTTAAAGGCACAGAGTAATAAAAAATGGTAAACAATAAATATATTTGTATTTATATTCAAAATCAAATTATAAAATATAAGAGAAATAAATAAATTTATGCATCGGTTGTAGTGAGGGTGAAAGGTGGTGGACGACAGTGGTGATGGTAGGAGACAGTGATGGTTGTGGTAGGTGAGAATGACTGCGGTGACGGTGGTTGTGGTGATGATGGCGG